TATCTAATTTTTTTATATTAAGTCTTTAGGTTTGTAAAGCAATTTTTCTCTCATCCCTTTTTTTTTTTTTTCACATCTTACCTATCTATCATGCAAAGTAATTTTCATATTAACATTAAAAATACTTTTATGCATCAGAAAATTTCGAAATTTCACATGTGAAATCTTTATAATGTCCAAATAGTTATCAAATGTTTCTTAAGAAAAACTTTAAATTTCATCTGTTTTTTTTAGCAATTAATCTCTGTATGTGTTTGGTAAATTTGACTGATCTCGCAACCACCATAAAAAATTAGGAAATAAATATAAATTATGCATCTTTCATTCTAGAATGAACACAACTTATAACACAAAAACATAAGTGTTTAGACGAAATAACTTAAGTTTCATAACATTATACATTTATATGTATATTTATTATTTTTATTATATTGACCTTTCACCCGTGCCTGGCTAACAATACAGAAGTTACAATGACGCGGCTCACGTGCATTCATGTTACTGTATCAAATAACATAATGGTGACATTTGGTCTTTACAAAGTAACATGTCCGGGCTGTGTTTTAGTCGACTAGTATTTTGTAAAATACAGTCACATTTCAATTATTATACATTATATATGTATATAGATTATTGCTATTTTGAAATAAGTTCTTAAAGTTATTTTTCCTAAAACATAGAATAGTAAATAAACAAGTAAAGCAAATAATTATCTCTTCTAGTTACGACCTTTGTACTTGGTTGCTGCTTGATGTAGGTTGCTAAGTCTTTAAAAATTTTGCATGTGGAGGAGATAAAATAAAATATTTTTTTTAGGTTTTATTTGGATCTAAAAAAATTAAATTTCAAGCAGGCTAAAGACACAACCTACCTCACTGAAATCTTGATTTAAAAGAAAGAAATGATGCTAGGTATGTTAGAAAAGCTTAGAAAACTACTAGGGGGACATTCTGAGCTTCCGATTGGTTATTCATGTCATATATAGAAGTCAGTGTTTATAAGGGAACATTTCCAAAAATGGAAGGAAGTGAGCAGTGTGCTACTATGTTTGATTTATTACATGAGCAATATCTTACCAAATAGAAAAGATAAGACCTTCTTATTTTATATTCTAGCTTGTCAATATCTATAATTTGAATTTATAGTTCGTATAAAGCTATAGACTTAGTATTTTGACTTCACAAACATCTAATTTGAACCAGTGCTGCATTCAGTATACCACATGACATACAAAAATCGGTGTTTATCTGTTTTTTAATATTTACTTTTAAATTAACAAATTGAGTAATGTATAGTTCTAAAATTTGAATTATAATCTACAGTTTGATACCAAACTTATTGACATAAATTCATGTAATAGTAGTCCAATAAAATTTTGAATGTGAGTCAATAAATGAGATGATATGGCCTTTCAGCTGTGACCCATATGGAAAGGGTTAAGCTGCTCATGCGCGTCTCCTCCAGTGGGCTTTGTAGGACCAGTGGAACCTTTCTCGGGATCCATCTCTTCACAGATGCTTTTCTGTTGGGCTGGGGAGCATCTCTGAACAAACCTGACTATGAGCATGTGGGCTCTAAAATAGCATTCATTGCACTTCAATGTATTTGAACTTCTCATTGTCTATCAAGCACATTACTATTTTCTCCCTCTTTTCATGGCTCATTTGGGTCATGATTCACTTTGACAATTTCATGGTTGTTTCTTATAACAACTATCAGCAGGGTACCCATTCCAGGACTCTTTGCTTCCTTGTATTGGACCTGCTGTTTTGGGCTCATTCCCATTGGGTTTATCTCATGGCTTGTCCTTTGTCAAGGGCTCTGAACTTGGAGGTAGATGGCCTTTCTCAGCTGGACAGGATTTTACCTACAGAGTAGTCTCTACACCCTCAGTTTCTTATTGTGTTTGCTCTTGATTGGGTACACCTCTCATCAATGCCTTCTCCACTCCTATTATCAACAAACTTCCCCTCTTCTAATCCCCAGTACCTCATCCTGGTCTCACCTTTTTCTGTGTGCTTATCATCCTATTCATCTTCTCCCTCGTGTCCTTGCTTTCACCGCCACCCAGGTCAAGGTCAGTCACACACAATATGGTCTGATCATGTCATAACCACACTACACTTTTTTGGTTTGCTAACTGCTTGGAGTCCTTTTGCATTTTCTTCTGGACAAAATCCCTCAAGGTGGATGCCTGTACATGGTGAGGGGACCTCCCAGGGAAGGTTCTGTATTTTCAGTTTACCTCCTCTGTGATCTGAACATCCACCCACGTGTTTGCCTTGCATGGTAACCCATGAAGGGGA